ATTAGGCCTACGTTAACAGTAATGTTTAGTTATCATAAGGAAAAAAACGGAGAGAGTATAAAAAAAAACCTAACACGGATGTATGTATAATCCATCATTACTTGTCCACCTAATCAATTTTGTTATGCGAAGTGTTGGGTTGTTTAAATTTTAGGAAGAAAAATATCTCAACAGCCATACATGAATGCCATTGATTTTTCAAGGAAATGTTCGCGACTTAATACAACTTTTTGTAATAACTAGCTAAATTTTCTATAAGGTCTATCCAAAAAGTTGGCCCGGAGTCTCGAAAAGTTTGATTGATTGTCAAAAAATTTCCCCGTAACAACTTGAAATGACTTTCAACTCATACTTTGTTGTTAGTTCAATTCTTGTTCGTTTATTTGTGTGATCAAGATCGATTCATATGAAGTTTCTTAAAAATCAAACATCATTAATTTATAAACCACGTAATAACTGATCGATGCATAAAAAGAGCGATATAAGGTCGTTTCGTCAAAACTATAACGGGCGTTTATACGTTGGGAGTTGCGGGGTAAATGCCATGCAAAAATCCTGAAATCAATCAAAGAAAGTCTTGATCAATTTTTTTTTTTAGTGTCATGAAATTGTCTTGAAGTTTGTAAGCCGGCTATCACATACATAGTTGGACTTCGATCCATTACTATATATGTTTCAGCCTTAATTTATATAGATGGTGAATTTGTTCGGAAAAGTATCGTATTCTTTCCATCTGAAAATTATATATATGTTGATTTAAATATTACAACGAACAGAATTTTATTTTTTTTTATTTTTTTTTAAAGAAGGAATGGATCGATATTGATATACCATCCTCATTTTTTCCCTAAAGGAAAACGGAAAAAAAATTCCAATTTTAAAGTGCATGCAAGAGAAATTTCCATAACTTTCAACTTGAGAATTTTGAAAATTACACAACCTTTAGTCTTAAGAAAAAGAAAAATTTGGAACCATCACACAACTTTAATTTTAAGAAGAGTAAGAAAAGGAAGTGTTGAATGAGAAGTCCTTTTGGTATACAGAAGCTAGTCAATTAAATAAATAGTCGGATAAATTTATTCAGGTGGAAAAAAAAGAAAAGGTAAATTAGAAGTTTCCATGAAAGTTAAAGCAGCCATTCCAATCAATCTGACTTTGTAAATGGTTAAAAGACATCGGATGTTTCAGTTACCCGACTAATACTAAAAAAACACCGGTCTTCCCTTTTCAAATTGAACTAGTTCTCCGTATTTATTATTATTATTATTATTATTATTATTAGGAGATACATATTACACACACACACACACAATTAAAAGACTCAAAACTAACTTGCTAGTGGCCTCCTTGTGCACTATGAGGAACACATTCATTTTCCATAGAAATTAACTATGGTCGATTGTGATTAAGTGGAACTTAATTATTATTCATCTTTGAATATCACAGTCGGGTGGTTGAATTCTCTATTTAATTATTATTATTAAATAACATAATTTTTTTTTTGATCAAATATCTTATTCACATGACGTATAAGTTAAAAGAAGAATATCAATGTTGCTCTTGATAACAGATACTACTATAATATCTTGTAAATAGAATAAAATAGTTATAATACATATTAAAAAAAAAATACTACGCTTTCTTAGGTTGATGAGGATTGATATATGTTGTAAACTTTCCATACTAATAATCTCCACAGCAATTTAATTATGTTCTAGGAAAATGACACGAGGGAGAAAGTACTAGCTTCAACATAAAGAAAATGTCAAAAAAGGCCAACATTTTTTTTTATAAAAATTATTCAATTCAATATAATAGGAAATTAAGATGTAAGCAAAACAAAATGGAGTGCTGTGACATAAAAAAAAAAATAAAATAAAATAAAAATGGTGTGCCATGACATTGGAGTTTGAGGGTTTGAGCTATGGAGTTATATATATACTTATACAAGTCATTATTATCTGTTGCAATCAGTTTTCATAAAATGTCAGCTATACAATAGTTAATTACCGCCAAATTTAACATCCTACCTATCTAATTATATTCTTTCCAATCAAATTGACATATGTTAAAATTAAAATTCTTGGTCAATCAGCTTGAATTTTATCTGTTCTTGACTTGGAAAAATGAGAAAGCGTTCCAGATTTTCATGTGTATTTGGGCCAAGATGGCCGTCGTGAGAGCTTTCGTATCCAAATGTGCAATAATAAACTACTCAATAAAATTATACGTTGAAAATTAACCGAAGTTGAATCCCATCGGCAATTCTATACTACCAAATTAGGAGTATTAATTCTTCACCAAGCCGTTTTTTTTTTAAATAAAAACTATATTATATTATTTTACTAGAAATCGTTCAATAACGATTGATAATGAATACAAAGCAACGAACAAAACTACGAATATCACACGGAATATATCACGAATACTGCAAGAAAAACCCTACCATCTCAATATATTATAATTATCTACTGAAGCAATTATGCTTTGAGGGACAAATTTCATTTATTAAACGTTGAAAAAAACTATAAACTAAAAAAAAAACAAATCCATTTCTCCATCGATCCATGAGAAAAGATGGGGAAAGAAAATTTTTTAGGAGGCGGATAAGGTTTGAGTCTTTGAGAGAATAGGGAGAGGAGATAAGTGTTACACTTTTTAGCATATACCAAGCCGTTAAAAGAATAGAAATCTCGTATTAAATGAAATTTTACAATAATTGAGGTAGCAGTCGATATTGATCGATTTTGTGTGTGTGGTTCATTTAATCAAAATATCAATGGTTGATTATTCAATTATTATTTCTCCTAATTAAGAGCAATATGTAGCATGTTGATGATGATTTTAGCCTATTTTAAAATGGTCGATTTTGTGTGTGTGGTTCTTCAATCAAATTATCAATGGTTGATTATTTCAATTACCATTTCTTTAAAAAAAAAAAAGAAGCAACATACAGCATGTTGATGATGACTTTGCATGCTGTTGCTAAGATGCTAGTTTCTGAAAAACTAGTGTGAAACAAAGTTTCCTTTGTCCCTAACAAAACATGAAAGCAACCTACATATATAGTGTGTACTTCATTTTTTTTTCAATGTTTTATGAAAATCATTTATTATATTAAGCTTCTTTGATTAATTTATATGAGAAACTCTGAAGCTTTCTTATATGACAACAGCTTCTTTCAGATCCCACAATTAATTAATCCAGCTTAACTAGATTAATACATGATGAGGCTGGGCTAGTTTCTTTTTGCAGCATAACCTGAATGGGATTAGGTAAAGCAGCAGGATGTTTGTTACAACTCCCCAGACTCCAATATAAGTTTTTATTCTTCTTCTCTTTTTTTTTTTGGAAAAAAGAAATGCAATTTATTTGCCTCCTTTTGTGGGGGTATTATTTTGGCGCCAATTCTTTGCAGAGTTTAAACTTTAAACAGCTCATGGATTTGCAATGCATTTTGTATACTGGCTTCGAAGCTCTTGTACTCATTATAAGTTTAAAAACCAGTTTAAAAGGCACTATAAAAATAAAACTTTACATTGGCAAATAAAATATTCTCTCGAGTCTAAAAAAAATAAACAATTCATAGTAAGTTTTGAGATTTGTACAATTATTTAGAACAGAACGAGTATATGTCATCATTTGAGAAAAACGTCTCTGTTGACTTAAAAACTCAATCAATGATTCTATTCCAGTATGAATTACGATTCTCCACCAAGTGAAAATCGTATAAACTAATTCATTCGATAACACTAAGGAAGTTTTATAAAACTTTATTACTAAGGTGTAAAACACATTGTAAATAGCATCCTTATTTTCTTCCAACAGAAATTTGGTAAGAGCAAAAAAATCACATTCCCTTTTGCCATACAATAATCTTGGACTAGCCACAAAATCCACATTGAAGTATTGAGTCTGCTATACACAATGCGAATTCATATACGGGCTTACAATTCAAAACGGACTACCAGGCAACAAAATAGTCGGGCTTCATCCATGAGGTGAAAGAAGAAAGGCCTATTACATAACTTCTAATTTGCCTCCCAATCCATCAAAGCTTGAACCAAAATAACAAACAAATAATGATAATCCTGAAAATCAGAAAAACATAAACAAAGTAAGAGAGGATCAAAGAAGTTGAAGATGAAGATGAAGATATTTGGGAAGCGTGTTTATCCAAGGCAGCTAATCCTTTTAGCTTCTGGGTACGTTTTTTTTTTGTTTTTTTAATTCTTCCAAACTCTCAAACCTTACATTAATTTCATTTCATTTCGTTGTCACTGATTTTCCTTAGAATTTGTTTTTTCTCCTGATACGAAGATTTATATATTATTAGGCTTCTGTTCTTGGCTTCAACAACGTACGACGTTCACAGATCAATCAAGAATAACGACAGCCCGCCTTCCAAGGAGCAAATGGAAGCTTTTGAGGATTATCTGAGATCCGTCCGCCGCCCTCCTCCTCCTCCTCCTCGTCCTCCCTGATCTGATCATCTCCACTTCAAAAATCAATCCGCTGCTCCACGTCTTGCCACGTTAACTTCCCTCCAGCCACATTCATGTTATACTCCATTTTTTAGTAATTTATTTATTACTACTTCTCCTGAAGAATACTCTTGAAGCTTCCTTCTTCTTTTCTTCTTTTTTCTTTTTTTTTTCAGTCCCTGTAAATTTATTGTGATAATACTTGTAACCATAGTGTTTGATTTGCATCAAAATTCAGAGTGAACACCTCTGTTGGAGTGAAAAACACAGAACAATATGTTACAAATTTCAAATTTTATTTCATTTTGCATAGTGAACTATTAAAATGAAACGGGTCAGGACAAGAAATAAATGTTTTACTTTTATAATCACAAAATTGAGAAATCCATCAAATTGGAATTTAATAATTTTGCTAATATGACAAATAGACATTCCAGAGCAGCTTATTTATTTCTTGATCAGTTAAAAACAAAAATACATAAGACAATGAACACATGATCAAGCCTTAAAACCGAGCTAGTTCTGGTTGTGGATTGATGATATATCTAGCGCCAAAACTTTCTTCCAAGCCGGGCGGGAAGAGATATCATTCCACCACGAATTCACATTCTTCCGGTCCTTAATCAAATGTCCCAGTTTACCTTCAGTCATCAGGAATGTGATTCCAGGAAGGTGACACATATCAGCAATGGAGTAATAATTTCCGGCCAGGTACTTGGTCTTGGACAGCCTTTCCTCGTACACATCAAGAACCTTGTTGAGAACTTCCACATGATGTTGGACTAACTTCCAGTCTGTACCCTGTCCCATTCTGGGAAACACTTCCAGCTGAAGAACAAGACCGAATAAGTTGTCGTTGAAGTTGTGTGACTCCACTTCCAGCCATTGGTCTACCTGGGCTTTCTCTTCCAGTGTTGTTCCCAACAAATTTGGCCCATGCTTTGATGCATAGTATCTAACAATTGCCCTCGATTCTGTTCCCCCAAACCAAAAAAGTAATCTTGTTAAGAAATGGTGAAATGAGACTGACATGATCATCAAATTGCTAGTTAGTTCATTTACCAAATAGCCTAAAATCACCATCTTCAATGACCGGAACTTGACCAAATGGCTGCAAAACACAGAATCAGCAAGTTAATGATGATCAATGTTACAGCAAGATGAATTTTCCATGTGATTCAACATTTAATCACTACTACAGTTTTTCACCTGAAGAAGAAGGAATTCTGGCTTTTTTTGCTCCATATGCTCCAAGTCCACATGCTTAACTTCAAACTCAACTCCAACTTCAAACAGGCAAACCATCACCCTTTGAGGACAACCAGCAGTCACAGGACCATATACTTTTACAACCATTTTCACCAAAACTCTAAATGTACAGACTTAATCAATCAAGATTGAACTTTTTCAGTAGTGTTATTCAAAAATTGAAGCCCTGTTCTGGTTCCTTTCCTTTTTCCAAGTTTTTATAGTAAATTGTTGTCCCGATTCCCGTTCAACAAAGGTGCGAAATCGCAAACCTTCGCAATTCATCTGAACGGGGGTTGCCACGTGATTTTTTGAAAGATCTTTCAGGCTTTCTTAGCAACATTCATGATTCAATATTTCACTTGACAACAAAATGTTGGCTGAATAGTAGGATTTGGTCTCTTAGTTTCCATCTCTCCCTGGTGGTTGGGATGTGGAAAGAGGGGTGGATAGATAGGGGCAAGGGAATGGCAAGTGAGCAGCCTTTTGCTTGATTGCCTTAAATTGTTCTGTTCATTAGTCACGGTTAATGAGTTAATCTCCCTTTGAAACTATTTTTCATTATATGTGTATTGTATGAGAAATTGTAACAAGACATCTTGTGCACAAAATGAAACAAGTTTATTGTACAAACCATATCAGTATCATTTACATACAGCTTTTCTTGAGAATATCTTTTTCACTAAGGATACCAAAACCTTGTGATCTAATTTATCACCACTTAGCTGATCAACCCAAACAGTGTTTTTTTTTTTTTTTTTTTCCAAGTTGGAGAATCTAGTGCTTATGCTAGGAAGATGGCCCAAGTCCCAACCATCATTTGTTAACTTGCAAGTTGTGAGTAGTTTCACGAAATGGCATCACTACAGTTGACTCAAATGTGACACCGTAGTGCATGTTGGGAAAATGCCTAACTCGATTTTGATTTAGTGACGTTTTACGTTATCTTATGTTGACTTGTCTGAAGAAAAACTGGGGGCTCTGTTGACAGACTTCGATTTCCCGTTGAAAATGTAAATGCTTAAACCAATCACATAAAAAAAAAGTGAATGAGGACAGGAAATTACCAAGCTCTCGGATGAGTGGGAATTGAAAGTTAGGTCATTCATTGCCTGCCATTTTACCCAAATGTCTCATAGCATACAAATTCAGGTCCCCTAAACCTAAACTGTCCATTTTTCTGAAGTTTGAATTCACAAGAAAGAGTCCCTTTCAGTGGCACCCGGAAGAGTACTCTAACTGAGTCACGACTGGATGCTCCGTCACCAGGAATTCAACCTTCAATAGTTGGTGATATTGTAGAGTAGTAGAGTAACATTTTGCTGTAATCTCGTAACTATGTTTATTATTCCTCCCTTTGTACCAGAAAAGAAAAAGAGCCCCTTCCACTGGTTCGGCGAATTAGTCAGTATATTCATCTCTTGTTGCACCAAGAACATTTTTCTACAGGAGAGCTGGCAGCCTGTAACCGGCAGTTCACAAAAGAATGGCCATGTTTCAAAATGAATTTTCACTATCTACCTCTGACTAATCACAGCTTCCCACTGATTTAATAATTTACAGATTTTCTTTTCTCCATTTATGAACTAAGTGTATTAATATAATTCTACAGGATTGAAAGGCTTGTGTGGAATTTCAGAAATATAGGTCAGAGCTTTTTCAAGCCTTAACCATTGAAGATGGTGATGTTCTTGGAGGTACAACAGACTTTGCATATGCAACAGGCAATGCAAGTATCTTCTTTGGTTTGCTAACATAAGCTCTCTTTGTGAAATTGTTGTAGTCATTTGCTTCAATCTCGTCCAGTATTTGTCGATACAACAACAAGGATGCCCACACCTGCATTCACCCAATATAAGTATTTGATTTTTGAACAGTGCCAGTAAACATGTATTCCGAGATTTGAAAACAAAATGGTTTTCCAGAAGTATGAACGTACTCTACCAGAAACAGAGAAGGCTATTGTGTGATGAAAGCAATATCTTTAGATACTTACAGGCCATCTACTAGCTGAGCTGAGCTCTGTGACTCCTTCCTCTGCTTCGTCAAAGAACTTCCTCGCCCTCTTGATTTGCTTCTTCATAAAATGCCTCCACTTATCAGTGACTTTTCCAGCAAATATGTCATCATCTGAAAGCCCTGCCTGTGCCAATTCATCTTGAGGAAGATAGACCCTTCCTCTTCTAGCACTGCAGACATTATGCAAAAGGAATAAAGTTAGAAATCCAAGTAGTCAGGTGCTTCTAATCTCAACTATTAAGGTCTTGTCAGCATGGTAGACAGGACCCCAGAAATGGAAGTCACAACAACAGGTTTACTAACATTCTTATCGCTCAAGGCGACATCATTTTAGTAAATGATATATCCAATTATGTTTACCAAAAAAATGCCAAGTATCACTCATAGAACACCATACTTACTCTTCTCCAACATCCCTTAGTATGTTAGTCAGCTGGTTAGCAATCCCTAATGCTAAAGCAGCATTATAGACTCTCTCCACTGGTGCTTTTGATTCAGGTGCAATGCCCATAACCGGAACGCTCATTAATCCAACAGTACCAGCAACATAGTAACAGTAGAGATATAGCTCATCAAAGTTCTTGTATCTTGACTTCTTAAGGTCCAATCTCATCCCTTCAATCATATCTCTAAATGGCTGCACACAAAAGATTGAATAAATCATGTGGCACAATTTTAAATTGCAGCTCTACCAGAAGTAATAAAGCTTTAATAAATTGCCCAGCCAATAAAGAGGTAACAGCACACAAGAATTTTTGAATAGAACAAAGATTGTATTGGAAGCCTTGATATTCTAGACAGCCAATAAAGACTTAACACATGAGAAACATCCAGATAGTGACTGAAATATGATCATATATTTGAAAATAGCTGAGGAAATCTGACTCCTTTTTCACACTCGTCAGCTACAGGAGAAAGTAATAAAAAAAATATATACATGTTCCTTCTAAAGAGAAACATCTGCTAATTTAATTCTGAGATTAAGTTTTAGCCAACAAACAAACAAAGCACCAATAGGAACAATGGGAATGGTAAAAGTCTCAAAGATACAACTTTCAAGTCCAAAAGACCTGATTTTGATGCAAGGAATACCAAAAAGCATCCAATGACATATTGATGTACGTTGACGACGAAAAAAAGGCAAATCTTTAAGCAAAATGATACACAAAATGAAATTATCACTTAAGAACAGAAGCTGAAGTGTGTAATAAGAGTATTGAAAATGTATTAAACCTCAGGATGATAGGAAATCCCCTTTTACAGGATCAAATGCCAGTTAGTCCAAAATATGCAAGGGCAAAACATGCAAATTTGGTTCTAACCTGAATGTCAACAGGAAATTTGGAAACAGTATCAGCTAATGCAGCATCGAGCATATCAAAAGGGCGGCCTCTAAAAACATCTTCCAGTCTTGCTTCCCACCTATCCAATGCAGTTGGAGTTATATGTGATGCATTAGGACCATCTACAAGCTCATCTGTTCTCCGGCACCAAACTGTAGACAAAAAGAATAGTAGAGAAGATTAAACTTTAGCCATAATCTCATCAATAAGCTGATCTCAGTAGAAGTCAAAGATTCTCTCAATTTTGCATAGTCTGATTTCTGAAAAATTAATATTTCTGAGAATGACTTGGTTAACCATTCGGGATTACAGAGGAAACCACTGGTAGCTTTTGTAGTCATGAACTCATGAAGTATGATTCTAGCTAAGCGAGGCAACAATCAGGCGTCACTAAAGTTCCCACTGATCCACAGACATCTAAACAATATCCAGTATCACTCTTCGTAAATCAATATATATGGAGTTTAAGCTTGCTAAAGCATTAAGCTATGTAATCATACTTACCATAGATAGCCCAGATAGCTCTTCGCCTCTCAGGTGTCATCAGCATAGTTCCTGAAAATGTTATAATAAAGCTTAGAACAAACTCTAAGACCATATATCAAACTACCAAATCTCAAAACTAACTCAAATCTCAGTAACTGAAAAATAGATAAAAAGAGAGCTAACCCAAGTAAAATGTCTTGGCATATTCTGCACATACTTCTCCACACCGGTCATATGCTTCACTAAGAAGGCCTAAATTTCCTGGAAGGGCAATATCTGGCTTGACCTCCCAATTCTCGCGAGATCTCAACTGCCGATTAACCAGGGCAGCTTGTTTCAACACCACATCATACACCTTCTGCTCTGAAGTCATGGCCATTTCTCCAGCTGGGCTAGCTACCACGTTGGAAATTACTGACACTTTCCTACGGTTGATCACGCGAGAACCACCCAAGCAAGAGTATCCCAAATCTGCATTTAGGTAGCCAGAGAACCACCTCTGTTGCCTACCCATGTGGAGCCTGCTGTTGCAGATAATGTTTCTACCCCGAGAAGCAAATCTGGACGAATCAAGATTCCTGTTCCCATCCCTGACTGGTTCCAAGAAAGCAATGCCGTTTGTTACCTCACAACTAGGGGAAATAACCCACAGAAGGGCAACAGACATGCTGAACTTGTGATTCCAAGAGGATAAACAATTCAAGACTTTGTCTTTCTTTCTGTTCACTTGTTTCCCTCGGCTAAATAAACTATACTAGTTTAATCCAGCTTAGAATTTTCCGAAAGCATAGAAAATTCCCACTTGACAACTCCGAAGAAGGGAGAATATTAAAGTTCCAATAAGATAACCGTCCCTCTTCAAGCAAGATGACTTGAGCAACTTCAAAGAGAGCAACTTTCACCAGTTTTTCTGGGCTCTCTATACACTGCATCGGTGAACCCAAAAAATAAACATCAGAGAGTTATATAACAGTTAACAACTTAACACTCGCTGAAAGCAGGCGACATTTTAAAAAAATCCGAAAAAAAAGCATAAATTATTCACCGCACCTACCAGCAGCAACCAACAAAAATTTCCAAAGGAACTGTGAAGAGATTTCTTACTAAGACACAGAGAAAAAACATAAAATAAATCGAAAATTCTGCTTTCTTATCTCAGCATAACGGGGATTCTTTCTATTTTGGGGTCAACTTCATTAGAATAATCACCCTTTTCTACCGTCCATACACGTAAAACTTATCCACAACTGGGAAAGAAAAAACCCACGCTTTGTACTAGTGAACCAGAAACCCATGTATGAAAGCAACTCCAACAAGCTCAAATGCAATTGAAATAATAAAGAATAGGAAGTAAAGAGAAGAATTGAAAGCCAACCTTCTTTAATCCCAAGAAACTCTCAGAGAGAAGTCCTCCAATGAGTTGAAGTGAAATTGGGAACTTTTAATATCAAGAAAGCATCAACATCAAAACCCCCAACAAAAAAAATGAAAATGGCCCTCTTTCCACAATTTCGCACCTTCACAGAATCCACACCACTTGAGTGTTTTCTCTGAGTTTCCAGAGTTCTCACACTGGAAACAACTTTGGTCTCTCTTCTCTCTTTATTGCCAAGTGCCACTATTTCTTTTTGTGGCTTAATTTTTATTTTAATCTTTTTTAACTTCTACCTCTAAATGCCACACACATATTTTCTTGTACCCATCTGCTCACTTCGTCACTGAATTGAAGAATTTGTGTGATTCTTGTTTATACTTAGATTTCTTATTTATTGGATTTTCCCATTAGTTTTTTTTTGTAGTTCCAAAAAAGATAGATACCTTACATACACTATAGATGCGGTCCCACTTTTCGACCCCACTTCTTCTAACATTGGTTATTGTCTAATTAGTGTAATTCACTAATTCCCCATGGATCTTCTTCCTAAGTGGTGTATTTGGCTAATTTAGATTTACTCCAGGGGAACAGTTATTTCAGGAAAAAGACATTGGTCTCTCTATATTGGTCACCTACACATTGTCTTTACTTCATTTTTTTCTTTTTAATTATCACAATGATAACCCGTTGTATAAGGTGGAAAGTGTAAATAACTTTCTTATACTAAGTGGTTGTTTGATAAAGCCACTTAATATTATAATTGGGTTAAACATTTTTTCATTTCAGCATGTTTAATAACAAAAATTGAAACTATTAATAAATTAAGTGGTGCTGAAACTCCAGTACAAAATATAAAAAATAAAATTTAGTTTATTGCTTATTCTTTAACTGTTTAGTATTATTCAGTATTTCAATATTAAATATTCATAATTAAGCAATAATTTTTATCAAACAGTCCCTAATTGTGATAGAGTGAAGAATTGCAACTAGTGAGAAATTTGGTAGAGTTGTAGTCGCGAGAGCGGAGAGATTAAAATTACAAGATGATAGTTCGATTTTTAGTCATTGTGTTCCAGTGTGATTTGATTTTAGTAAGAAAATATATTTGTGGTAAGAACTTCTATTTTCAGTCAAATGTTTAGCACTTTTTCCCCCTTTTTGTTGGCATTATTTGAGCATTTCTCATATTTGTTAGAAGAAAATTCATTAGGCCTATTTCCAAAACGGCATTGAAGTGATTATCTCACACATTTGCGACTGTGAATATGCCATCTAAAAACTCCAACTAACATCCTTGGATATTCCTTGGAATTTATTAGCATAATGTGTGAACACCTCATGGTTCTTGAGTTTGTAATTTTTTTTTATTTTTAAAAAAGATATTCATTGGGTATAACTCCTTACTAGATTCAACTTTTTACTTTTTTTTGTTTTTTTAATTTTTAATAAAATGAATAATTGATCTATTTAAAATCTGCTCCTTACTTTGTGAAATATATTAATTCAATGAAACACATCCCTTCATTCATAAAATTGTTCAATTGATATTCTAAAATTTATCCATGTAGTATTGTGACTTCTTTTTATTTGTTTCCTTCACTAAAATCAGGGAGGATCTTACCCGCGCAGGCCACGTGTAATCAGAACCCAATCAGCTGACGATAACGTTATCAAATTAAAGTGCGCGGGAAGGATTAGTTGTACACATGGCAGTCGCTTAGTGGCTAAATCAGAAGACCTTTTTGGTCCAAACTGGTGGTGTATGTGGATTGTGGGCTCCATGAGATTGAAGAGCTAGAAATCTCATTGGCTGACGCTTGTAGTGTGGCTTTGACTCATCTCTGAGTCGTACGATCCCAGAGATAAAGAAAATATTTTTTTTTTCCTCACAAAAGTGCGCCACAGTTTCGTATAGCCAAAGGACCAAAATGTCCTCAATTTTTTATTTTTATTTTTTGAAGGGGTGAATGAAGTGAAGGGTAAAACTTGAAGAATCAAAGTTCAAACAAATAGGACGAATAACATAGTTTACCTCCCTTTTAGGTATACTAACCGTGTTAAAAATCAAACGTGAATCTTTGTACTAAAAAAAAAGGTGGAAAAAAAAATGTTTTGAATTTTCAACCTAAGTGATGGAATTAACTTTACTTCTTATGTGTAATAGCCCTTAAAATGGACGCTAAATATTAAAAATGGTCTTACTATGGCAAAAATGTGTACTCCTTCTAACCTTATTATAAGACATTTTGATTTATCATAAATTTTACTTTTTATTTTAATTGAAAATAAAAAATTTACAAATGTATTTTCACATTTATTGTGTTTTCTTATTTATTATAAAATATTTTTAAGGCTTTATTTTTCAATTTAAAAACATTCTAAGCGAAATTTAGACAAATCAGAATATCTTATAATAAGGATTGAAAGGAGTATTTATTCTAGCACCATAACTGATACATTGCACAAATTAGGACTACTAAAAGAACTCGAATAGACCTGTAGAGATGTTAGAAATTATTAGAAATGACTAGAAGTAGTTAGTTAATGCAATTTAATTGAAGTTAGAAGAAGGACTGTCGCTTCTATTTTATTTATTTATTTTAAATTTTTTAATTTATTTTTTTTTGGGTACAATAAGGAGTGTCCCTTTAAATAACAAATACTTTGACTTTCCATTTTTACCATAACTTGAGGATGCTTAGCATTTCAAGTTAGCTCTAATCCTTATCAAAATGAAATGAAATAAGTAAGAGGTATCAATTCAATAATAATGATGTTTAAGTGATCCGGTTTGTGGTTGAGTGATAGAGTGCATTTTGCATCCTTTAATCATACTAGGTTGAAAAGGTTGGAAACTCACCATGAATGCGCATTACGTTTAAATACTCCTCCCGACCTGAAATGGTTAACTTTTACTTTTAATTAATGGAAATCTAAATTAGATCATTATTATTTAAAAAGATGGAAGAACATTTGAAGTAACGGAAAAAAATTGTGGGGAGAAAATAATAAAAATTGGCTCTACAAAATACAAACACATTAACATTGCTGTCCACATGTTGGCGTACAAGCATAGAAGGCCCAACAATTGACACGTCCGGCTTCGCACTTTCCCTCACTTTTTTGTGTCTTTTACTCACCCAAAGAAAGGTCCACAAACAGTGTATTGCAATTTGCAAGAGAAAAGAAGAAAACGGATTCGTTCGGCGACAGCAACCCCGGAATTCCAGACGAAGAAGAAATCAAATCGGTGTCTCATAGTACTAAAAAAGACTCGGGGCTTGGCTGATTTGCATGCAAAGTAGGAGGAGTATTTGATACGGCCATTAATTGCGCCAAGGTTGAGACAAATGTCAAGTGTTTCTGTTCCCATCTTTTCCGATCAATTTAATCTGGTCGCTTTTCATCCATGTTTTCTAGGCCTACACCTTGTTGTAACTTGTAAGACCTAGCATTACTCGGATCATCGTACGTGAGTTCAATAGAATGCAAAAGTATAATGATTTCTCTTCCTACATTTTAATTAAGTAGGAGTAAACTTTGCCACAGATTCAATGGTAGGTTTAGCAGTAAGAAAAACCTCTTTAACGGCTTGAAACCATGATTTAGGTATGGTGTAGTTATAAGAGTCGCATATCAAGAAAAAATGTTATAGCATGATTTTATAAGAAAGTGATTTATTCGTTACATCGTTAATATATATATATATATATAAATAATTCATCTAAACTAACATCAATTTGCTTACATCAAAAGATTGTAATTGGGAATGAGTAATGGGGTTTTGGGTTGGATACGCAATTTAATTAATAATAGGGTCGTACAACATATGCTGTATTAGCTCATGCCATGCATCATACGCAACTACAACTAAAAGTTTATCAAAATGGGGATGTGTTTTTCGTCTGTCCATTTTTAAATCTCACTAAATTATATTTATCAGCTCAATTCTCATCAAAAAGAAAAATCAAAATCATTTGGAAGACATTAAGTTTCACATGTAAAGGAAAAAGGAAAAAAAAAAAAAACCCACCACCAATTCCAGATTTGCTATGTTTATAAATAGCAAACCGAGCTTAGATCATGGTTTTCGCCTCCATTCTTAAATTATGCGTAAATTCTAAGAGAGCAGATCGTTTTGCCATGTGAAGTAAACACTGAATTATGGTTCTTTGAATCGGACATTGGTCTTACATGTCAAGTCCAAGTTCATAGTACAAGTTCATTATTTGTATTCATTTAATTCATACTGTCTCCGTCCAAAAAAAAATCCAATTTTAATTTTGAAATTT